AGATACACCGAAGACACGAACGGAGCTTACGATTCGCGACCAGAAACTTTCACGACTCAATGGTGGACCTTCCGACTAATTAAGGTGAACTCGGAACGTCTTATGAAAAAGTCGATGAACTTCGTTGAAAGAAAATTCGATTCACGAAGCAGCAGGAAAAAGTGGGCGCATCGAATAGGAACCGGGATTTACGTGAAACTGGTAATTCCGTTTAGTGTACAAAGAAGGCGTTTGATCTTTAGGCTGTCAGGAACATCCCTTTTTAGACGTTGACGAAATTCGAAGCTCAGCGCAGTGCGTGTGTTATGTATACAGGGTGATATAAGAAAAGGGTTGATAACTTCTTGGGTAGATAGTAAACATGGGTCGAAGCATTAATATTCTCGAAGTTATTTAAATAATTGACTTTCTAGCTTCGGGAGCTATCGTACCGTATACGAAGACCATTGTAAAAAGGAAGGTAATAAAAATTGTCGAAAACCTTCTATAACCGAGAAAGGAAAAAATGATAACAAAATATCATTTATAACCTCAAAAATATTAATTTTGCAACCCATTAAGATTTTTGTTTCATCATTCGGCGAGTACTGTCCACCCTAAAAGTTATGAACTCTTTTTCATTACCCTGTGTACAAATTTTTGGTCAATAAAGACCACTATCTAATGAAAATACTCCCAGAGTCTAAAGGTGAACGAAATGTATCCGTTCCTAGAAGTAGAAAAGCAACAAGGTGATAGGTGAACGGTCAAGGGTCGACCCAAAAACTGATCGTCGAAATTTATGCGAGTTGTTCGAGTTGCCGTGGGCATATACACGGGGCGGTTCTCCCTTCTGCAACCAGCCAGCGGCAGCCACCCCACCTGCACACGATCCATTGGTTTTCCGCGTGAGTTTCCGTGTATATTCACCCGTAGATTAGGTTTCGCAGCGACACGGAGCGCTAATGAACGAGGAGGTGTCGTTTGCACGGCGACCGGAGGGGAGGAAAATTTTCAAATTTGTGTTTACGCCCCGAGGCGAGCGTCGAGAACCCACCCCTTTCCTCGCCAAAGATTTATTCTGCGCGGCATTCTACCCTTCGATTTTTCCGACCACCCACAACCACCTCGTTCTCATCCCCTCGAATCGACTGCTTTCGGATGATGTATACAATAACCTCTCTTCATTTATATACATCGGTATATTCATCCTGTGATCGATAATGGACAGTCAGTATCGTGGTTTTGTAAGAGTAAGTTTTTTGTCACCTTTTTTTCAGACGTATTGGCTTCTCGGTCTATTTCTAAATCTGTCGTAACTAAACTTTGAATTTTTACGCAAATACCAATCTTTAAAGATTAATTCATACTAACAACAAACAAACAGAAGTTCCTTTGGTGCATTTAAAGTTCTATCAATCCCTGTATAAAATAAAAACCGTACGAAAATTTATTATACTTCTTAATATTCCGAATTTCAGACAATTGTCCTTATATGGACATCGTGGTGCCCACCAAATGTTCCCAACGCACCGACTCCCACCGATTAGAAAATTAGAATCACATCGTAGCAGTCAGAATAATTCAGAAGTAAATCACCACGAGTTTCCAATAAGTAGATAGATTTCCAATGATCAGACTTTTCAGTTAATTCCAAAGGCAATGGGAGTGCCATTCAAATGGATTCCATTAAAAGAATCCGTGGTAATACGCTTCTGTTTCCCTGGACGTCTCGCGAGAGGAGCACAAAGAATCGGGTACCACCCCGCGGGGGATGAAAAACCGAGGCGGTGGATGGAAATAACGGGATGTACAGACACAGGAGGGGAGGGTTATGCGGCGGGAAATATATAATAGAAGCATGGAGAAAAGGCGGAATACACCGGGCTCCGATATCACCGAACCGACGGGACGCGTATGTACAACCCTCGGGTAATTTTCTGAGTCACGTATACGGCTAGGTGTGTTTTGGTTGGTAATATCAACCCCCGTCGCCGCTGCCGCCGCAGGCCGCAACCCCTATTCGCGGCACTGTTCCCCCTGTAGCCAGACACCATCCCCCTCGGGCTCTTTGTCTACCGAATGTCGGTGACTTCCGACACGGGGGTTGGTGGGGGGTTAGGGAAGAAAAGTGGCGCGAGAGGTTTCGGACGCGGGGAAAACCGTGTATCCGCTTTTTCTGAATCCTTGCTAGCTTGTGTATCCAAGGATATAAGGTGTGATTCGCTCTGTGTTGTTAACCCGAACCTGAATTAACAACTATAAAATTAACGTTTTCAAGTTCTAAATAGCTTGATAGACGTATAACAGTTTTGTAACACCCTGTATAGTTTGCATCAAGTGTGAGATAGTCAGTTAAATTCGATCTAGAAATATCTTATGAAGTTGTCCGTGTCCACAATCCCAATTAATTGGATAACCGTCATCCTCACAATGACGTTAATTAGTAATTAGTACCGATCGAGCTCCGGGAGAGTACGTTGTTTTTAGAGTCAGAAAACGCGGGAAAAGAAGTTCGCCTCGTTCCCTGGTCTTGTTTCAGGGGCATCTATTTATCTCGATCCGCCTTCTTCGAATCTACTCGCTCCCACCGATCGCTCGATCCCGTCTCGTCGAAGTTTTTTCCACGTAGCATCCGTCGTTCCGTCGAACGCGAAACCCGTACTTCTGGCGCAACGGCTGATAATCGATTGGAAACCATAATTGGAAGCTGCCACCGTACGTGAAACAATTAATTAGACCTTAATTAGCGCTCGGCCCAGTTTCAAAGCCCTGACGGCGGGTCTGGGAGTATCCAGAGGAAGCTGGGGACTTCGTCATCGTGTTACCCTCCGCAAAACTCGTGGAAGAGATAAAGGGATGGGTTTCGTCCGTCCTATTTAATCCCGTCGCCCGATGCTGACGAGGAGACCTTATCGTCGTGTAATTATCCTTGCGCCCTGTAAAATACGATACGGCTAATTCGATCCGATAAAGTTAATTACCACCCCCTATCCATCTGAAATTCTCAGACGTACGAGTTTTAGGAGGAAGGATTCCGTCGGAAAAACCGCGGGGAACATTTGCTCGTCTATTCGTGACAGTGTCTTCTATCTATTCGAGTTGTAGATGGTAGAACGAAGTGCTTTTGGACAACTTTCGGTTAAAAATAATTTCACATAATCCTGGATTATGCTGTAAATATTTATCTTGTTCCACTCTATCTTTACTGTAAGGTTTGAATTTTATCTTGTAACATTTTTGAAATTTATCTTGTACTATTGTGCATTGTCCACTTTGTTTAGATCGTTTATTTTAAACGAGCTGGGTGTGAATGGTCTATAAATTTCAGGGAAAGATCTAGTCGAAAGACATAGTCGTGATTTAGCCACTTTGGCTAGATTGAATTTAATTTGTTTACTTTTATTATTGTGCTTGGTATTTGTTATGAGTTCTCTACACCTTCGTAAATTTGACGAACGATCTTCTACCATCCATTATTCCGTACAACGAAAGAGACTCCAGATCGAATTAAAGAGTCGCGCGACACGTGCTCCTTTTATTCTACAAAACCGATTGTCGGAGGTCGATCAATCTTGACTGGAACTGATACCTTGATCCTCCCGAGGGATCCTTGGTTCGAGAACTAATCACGCAGAGGAGACTCGAGCGACCTCGTGACGCGACTCAGTTGTAATTTTCGACGAAATTCAGTCGACAAACTCTGAAAAAATCGAAAAAATCCTATTATTGTAAACCTATATTTTCCAATTTAACGCCCAGTGTCGCACCGGTGCAACATTCATTTTAAAAGTTCGTTAAATTCTGATGTGAAGTACGTCTTCACGTGGTCACTGGAGAAATTCAAGTATTCCCTCCAAAAATAATTAAAAAAACGACAAATATACATCATATATTTTCGATTTAAAAATTCTAAGAAAATTTAACCTGACCATTTAAAATAAAATTATACATTTAACCTATTTAAATTATATTTAAAATATTATGTTCCCTATTAATTTAACTAATACAAATTATCCCTATAACATATGTATCAGCCCCATAATTTTAAGTAACCATTTAAGGGTCTAGGCGTTGAAGGGTGCACGAAGGCATTCCAAGGGTCTTGACAGAATTCTAGGACCAGAACTCGGTTTTGCAAGGTAATTGAAGGGACAACTATATCCAACGGCGACCGATTCGAATTTCCTCCCTTCTGGCACGAAAATTATAGGGCCCGTGGAACTTCTGTTTCGCGATTATTCGGTTTATCTCGGCCGGTTATTATCCGTCGGCATTAACAGATAATTTAGGTGGGCTTTGTTCGCGCGAGAGTGCACCAAGTTCGCCGCTGAGCTCACCTTCGAGCTCGAGCTATTGGGCCAGGCGTCGTCGATACGAATTTCGAAAGCGATGATGTAGCAACGTTGCGCCGGAAGTTGGAGCAGTTTAGGGCGACTGCTTCGGCGACACAAATTTATTGTGAACCGGGTTTCGCTCGACCAGCGTATTCTTAAGCTAAATCTGACGAAACTGGGTGGGCGTAAGTTCTGTCTGTCTTTTATTATTCTATTTGTGTTAATGTTTACAGGAGCCCCACTTATCATCGGGTAAGTCAATACCCTGGTCAGTCCGCCAGTAAAGAATAGTTTTTCGATAAAATTTCGACTCTTTTAGCCTCAGTATCACCTGAAAGGACGTTGAACCGGCAGAGAAATATAGGATTCTGTGTTTTAAAAATTCAACTTATTCTTCTAATATTCCTTGGAGTATGGCAAAAAAAGTAACCAATTTGTATCTTGACAGGTCTCTAGGATTGATATAACACAATTTCTTTTCTTCATTATTCTTTCCTGAAGCTATTAGCTTCATTATTTATACGTGTGTCGTAAGGACGTAGTAACAATGATATTAAGAATTTCGAAAGAAAGGGTAACTGAGCGACGAGATGTTAAATTACAGCTCCCAGACACTATGCCCTACCCGTGATTTCTTCCCGAGAGATTTGTCACCACACGACCATCGTTTTCCGTGTGTTTCAGCTACGTGAGTACACGTTAACCGAAACGTATCACGAGGACGACGTCGAGGTGGAGTTCGTCAGCAACGACAATCTACTAGCGAACAGTCCGACCCCCAGGGGGATCGATCCGAATAGGGACCTGAACGAGGCCATCGCCGAGGAACGAAAGGAAATGGACACTCAGCGATACAGGTACGTTTCTTGCTCTGGATTTCCTTCCTCTTATCGAGTTTCCCCGTTCCAAATCGCGGAGACTGCACGGAAACAACAATGAACCTCTCATATAGAGGGAGACTCGCAATAATTCGGAAATTTCGGAAAATCGTATCTGAAACGGTGCCACGATCGAAGCTTCGGAACGATGTCGCTCGGAGCTCGACCGAAACGTGTCCTGTTCGATTCGTTTCAGGAACAAAAGCGGCAACACACCGTGCGAAAAATGGGTCGTCAGCCGGAAATGTTCGTTAACGGATCGCGTCGGCAGGAAGGCGCGTCGAATCGAACACGAATAAAAGACATATCGAGGTCTCTGGCAGGCTTGAGACCATGTGGACAATGTACTAGCGTATCGCGAAAGGAAGCCTGGAAATGGGCCGTCGTCGAGCGTGCCAGTGCCTCGAAAGATAGTCTATCCACGGGTTTTTGCGGAGAGATGAGTACTCTCTCTTGCGGTCGAAAGTCTATCCGGCGTTTGCTCTCTCCTATCCCCTTTTGCAACCTCTTCCTCCAGGTCCTCTTCGTACCGTTACGAGATCCTTTCCCCCCACCACCCTCTCTCTCCCTCTCACGCTCTATTTCTCTCTTTAACTTTTACGATCGAGCTCGTTTCATAGGAGAAGTTCATCTTCTTTCCGACCCCAAGACCGCCCGGGGATGCTCGCGGGGAGCGCTTTGTGCAGGGAGAAACGCATCTGGAAATCCCAGTTATATACCGCGTATTTACAGTAGACGCGCGGAAAGTTAGTCACAAAATAGCTCTGGGTTTTCATACCTTCTGGTCAGGTTTGAAATTCAAGTCGTGGATGGTCCATCGAATTAGTTCCCTACGTTTTGTAGGAACGATTACAAATTCGAGGCTGTCTTTTCCGAGTGAGACAAAATATTATGCAAATGGGCCAAATATTGCGGATTAGAATAAAGGTAGAATGAACCCAATACGATCAATAGTTTCTGAGATAAAAATTCGTAAGTACAACTAGGTTTCACGAAAATCAGCCAAAATTGCAAACTTTGACGGTCTGTATTTGTTAACCAAGTCGGATACCAGCGGAATTATGACTTAAACTACCCATAATTTCACGTGGACTATATTATACAGTAAATTAACGATTATTGTCCGAAGGCTCCTCGGTACTGATTGTTCAAACGTCTTCCTCTCCACTGGGACAGAGTTTTCCCAGCCAAGCGCCCAGTGGTGTGGATGACGTCTGAAAACTCAGTGTCAAGAAGCCTTCTAACACTCATCGACGATTTACTGTATTTCATTTTGAAAGAAATCCCTGACATCCAGTGCAGAAATTGAACGATTTACCGTGGAATTGCCCTATTCTAGTTTCGGGATGAACGCAGTAAAAGCAGAAAAGTATATTTCCCGTTGGATCCAAGGATTACATTAAAGTGAATCGAGGTCCATCCGAATCAGAATTCTATAAAGTGTGTCCGTCCAGGTGCGAAATATGTCCCTGTGCGGTCTGCAAGAAAAAATTTTACGAGTTCTGTGTACATATATTCTCCACCGAATGTAACGGTTTAACAACAGTGATACGGTATTGTGTTCTCGTGTTCCTGGATATTATTTAACCGTCGTAAAAATGCTGCCCATGAAAATGCAATAACACCGTTCCCGCGAATCAAACACGCTTCCGTCCACCGATTCCCCTTGGGTCAGCCGTATATATACTACACATCCGATCCCCGGTAACGATATTACTTTTCCGCGGGCCAGTCAGGATCCTCGGTGGCAATTTCTGCGATACGTTCCCCCACGAACAAAGTAGAGTGTGTCCTTATCGTCGTAATATCCGGCATGAGCAGAGGTCCAGCCGTGGCTGTCGACCCGATCGTGTCTCGAGAATGTACAGGAACGCCGTAACTTTTTCCCTTACGTTACACACCGTCCTTCTTCTTGGTCCCCCATCACCTTCGACCCTTTTCGCGTACATCCTGGCTCCCGTCTCCCTGGATGGCAATTTTTATTTAATCAAGACGGGGGAAAGGGTCGCGTTTATTGTGTCGGAGCCAGAGGACGATTAAGGTATCGACAGAGGACCGATCGAGCTGTTATCAGGGACGATTGGAACGGTGTGGGGGCAAGTTTCTATTGAAATTCGAGGGGCCTACCAGTGGAGCACAAGGGTTATTGCCCTGAGGATCTGATGCGTGTATGGTTTTATTTTCTGACAATTTGTGTTCGAGGGAAAGTGTAGTTTTGTGGGTGGTAACTGGACCTGTACCACTGACTAATTCTTGAAGACAGGAATATCTTAAGTTCAGTGTCGTTTATGAGGAAGACATCAACCTGTAGTTGATGAACCGCCTTCGTTCCACTTTTTTTCAGAAACCTTCAAGATTTAGCACAATATAAAAGCTTGGAATTCTGAAGTAAACGATACCTGTTTCATTCGTAGATATTTTACATTACACTGCATTATACGTATTACACAATTTATTTTACAGTATATTCAACGCTGGTCGTTCTAATGTTAAACAGTGCCCGATTAAAAATAATTGCGCGGCATGTCTTGTCGTCTTTCCAGCGCCTACATTTTCCGTATTCAACCTTGATCGCGAAAATGAAAAAGAAGCTTCTGGCGTTTTCCAAAAAAAAAAAAAAAAAAACACAACCACTCATCGATCGGTTCGATGAAATTTTTCGTACGGGCTGCGAGGAATTGTTCCGCGAAACAACAGGATACCCGACAGCACCGGGGCTGCAACAACAAGCGTAAAATATCATACGTTGCTCCGGGCGTGAAACTTTTAACCAAATTGGAACACCGGCCGAATTTGTTTTTTATTGCTCGACGGGCTTGTAGGAACACCTTTCGGGATGGCGCGCTTCGAAACCACGGGACCCTCGATTTTCCTCGTGTGGAAAATACGAGGCCACCTTTTTTTTGAGGTTCTTTCCCGTCAACCATTTTGCTAGAATATGTCAAACTCGATGATAGAATAGGAGTTAGACGCTTCGATTCTGTTTTCTTTTAATTGAATATAATATTATATTCTGGACATTACTACATATTTCTGGACTATTCTTTTTGTTCAACGTGAAACATATATTGCCACTTCTTTCGCTATTGTCTTTAAAATAAGAAGAAGCATTTTCGATTAAATTCTTCCCATCGATGGGTTCGCTTTAATGCATAAAGGGAAAGTAAAGAACGGCATCGTCCATTTTCCAACGCGTTTTTCCCCGTGAAATTGAAACAGATATTAACGACAGGCCGGCTCCGTAAACACTGTCTGAGTCTCTTAACGCTTGAATGCTCCGCGTTATTTACACGAGTAGATATAATGACCCATTCAGGTGGAAAACTTTAGAGAACGTCGCGTCGCGGATGACGGCCACCTGAACAATGTTGCTCGAGAGTGAAAAAGTCTGTTGTAGGACGACGTGGCTCTGGACAATGGTTCGTCCAGTACACTGGTCGTCCCATTCACGAAAACGGGCCAATTTTTACTTTTTAATTTGACTGCCGGAAGAGATAACGAGTCTCGGATTGGAACACGTTTCCGCGATGATTCTATCGGGCTCGTGTGAAACAAATGGCTGTTTGCACACGTTAAACCTACTGGTGTTCCAGATTTCATTCCAGAATATGTAAAGTTTCTTCGAGTATCTTTGTACGGTGATGAATGTAGAATTAAATTGACTGAACATACGACACATTGAATTTCGTAAAATTATATGTGACTCGATGATAAAACTTCACAGAAATCATAGATTCTCCTCCCAGACTTAACCCATTACCGTTACAAGACCTTACAAGACCCTTACAGTAGCTAACATAAGTCGACTCGTGTCATTGATAAAAGAAGACCCACCCCTCTGCAATACTTACCCCAAAATCCACCAGTCTGTCCACATCCAATTCTCCTCTTACCCCAGACACTCGAACCAAGAACCTAACGTCGAAGATGAATGGGATCACGTCAGCTGACAGAGTCTGTTAGCAATGTCCCCCATCAGTTCCCACGAAAGGGGTAAAAACAGGCCACGAGAGGATCCGAGTAGAGGACGTTCGATTATGAAGCCTACTGGGATCGACGTACCGTTGGAAATCGGCCAGCCCCGAGGGCGCAGGACCGATTACCCGAAAACGACGATCGGTTCTCGCCAGAACGGATAACACCGCGAGGGATCGAAGGAGGAGATTGGCTCCTTCGCTACGAAACTCGATCGTTCTCCCACGTGTCCTCGAGCACCCATCGATCCGATCTTCGTCCAACTATCCCCGCAGATATCGGTCCAATCGTTCCCCCTGTTACGAGGATTTCTACGCGCCAGGCTCACGATAATCGACCGAGTCGATCTCGCGTTTATCGGTGGGAAAGAAAGTCGAGCGTTAACGGAAGAACGGGATCGGGTAATTCCCGTGGGTCCTCGTTCATCGAGTAGTTTTTCGAGGCGATCAGATAGATACATAATTCTCGAGGTGTCTTTTGAGAGGAAAAACCATGGCGGACAAATGTATTTGGAAAGAATACAGTGTATCCTCGATGAGTGTTTGAAGGTTACAGAAATATTTCATGAAGTAATGACCATATGAGGCTGAAATAAATATTATTGCGACCCAATTAATAGAATCTGTACGCAAGCGAACAATTGTAGCAACCAAATTGATTTTTTTAATCCGGACACTAAAGTATTCATGACTAAAATCAACCGGGAAATAGAACGCGCCAAACCTTAAGGTAAATATTCTAATTAAATCGTGACATGTATATTTGCAGACATGTCACCGTGGAAATAAATATTATTATTATTAAACTATACTATGCTAAACCATAGTGAAAGTCAGCGTTACACCTGGGGATCTCTCCCTATTAGTGCTGAAGAGCTTTCAAACACTCATCGATTATTTACTGTAACTCGTGGAAAATGTTCGTACTGCGTGTCATCGACTGTTTTTCTTTTTTTATTGTGTTTTTCACGTGTCGGAAACTGCCAGATTGCCCCTGGAATTTACGTCGGCTGTCGGACAGAAATTTATGCCCACGTGGCCCCCGGTGCATTTGCATTTTAAAATTGTCGGCTGGCAGGTCGTAGGCGGCAATGAGCAATCTGCATTGCAAATCGGATATAATAAGCGTATTTTCGTAAATATATTTCCAATTATCCACCGTTAGGCTGACGTTTTCGGTCAATTGATCGCCGTTTAGGTGGTAAACGACCGTGGTGAAAATTTTACTCACTGTATAGGCGTACAACATTCCCTGTCCCTGGTTTGAAACAACCCCTGATCGATCAGTTTGTTTCGATCTCTTAAGTCCACACGTTCTGGGGAACAAACCGTCGCGTTTAATACGTCGACTACCGCAGTGAAATAGGTCGTACGTAGCCAGACATAACGACGATTAAACGGTATGACGATACATTTTCTGAGGTCTTTTGTACCTTTTATTACGATATGAAAGTGAATTTTTGAAGAGAAACGGAATTTTTGCAGCTCGTTTTGGAATCGTTTTTTACAAACACCGCCTTTGAAAGGGGAATCGCGAGGCTAGAGGTCTCGAGTCCGCGACGAGCGCGACCGGAAGTCGAGGAATAAAGAGCACGGAACGAGATTCACGCGGCGGGGTGTAATGCGGTCGGATACGAAATTCAGGGGTCTGTCCTATTCCGTGCGGGGAACCAGATTTCGTCGGGCGAAATTGAAATCATGCAAATGCCGGGGAGAATAGATTAAAAAGCCCGCGCTACTCGACCTGGTAAATCAGAAAGAAGGATTTTATACGAAATTGTTATACGAAATTTTCCTGGCTAGGTCATGCTGGTTCGTCTTTTTTGCTGCACGGTCATCAACCTGTCTTCTTCTAACAATACGTATTACGATAAAGAAGTTTCCGTTGTCTGGGAAACAGAAAAGTAGAGGGAATGAAAAGAAATAAATGTCAGACGAAGAATGGTGACCTAAGCATGTCCTTCATCTTCCTTTCCTTCTAAGCATTCCATTTCCTTCAATTATACGGATGCTAAATCAACCACCAGCTGTAATAGTCGATTATATTTTCTATCTTATAAGAAACATTCTTGCTCTTCATTCTATGCACACACGAGTGTCAAAGTGAAGTGTCGTTTCATCGAGTCACGGCCATTGCTACAGAACCATATCAATGAAAATTCGTGTCGTTTCCATTCTGATAAATCTCCCGATAATTGTCGCGGGCAAAAGGCTCGTGTTCCACGCGAGAAATCCGAGCCGACTCGAAGACCTGGTTTGGTCCAATGCCTGGAAACACTAGAAGATCGAACATTCCACGGGCAGAGCGTACAGATAGTGAGGTTTGAATGCATTTCAGCCGTGAAACGTGAATCTCTCCCTCTTTCCTTTCACCCTCTACCCTCCGAACTGGTTTCGTTCCCCTGTCTGCTCGTTTTTCGCCTCATGGTTTTTCCTGCCAGCGTGCACCGTAAATCAACGTTCGAAATTGTTTACGAGCGGCATGCACCAATGTGTGTTTCGACGAACATGGGTGTCTGGAAATTCGAGTAACGACTCGACGTAGGCCACGGGAAAATGTTTCCCCGTAGTGTTCATTCGTCGTCCCGATAATTTCCCTCGCTGGAAAATCGTCCGACGATCGTCTGATGTATACCGAAAGGTTCTTAAGTATTGGGGGAATTTTTATCGATTTTGAAAGGGATTGAAATTTGATAGAATATGGATGTGTGAATTTTTCATTGACACAGTGGAAAGGGCTGTATATGGTCAGACACAGTTTATTTCGAGCATTACTCGAAGATTTACTGTAGTCGAGTTCCATACCCTTCTCTATAATATTTCATTACAAAAAATCACAAGTTTCTGAATTTAGAAAACGTTCTGAGGAGATTGTTTGTTCCTTTATAGGTATTGGACGACGACCGGAAACGGGCAATCGGTGACAGACGTTCCACGGGACAACAAGGCGGCCATTTTGGACAGCATCGCGTCCTCGTACGCGTTGCAGAGGCCGAAAATGGCCCCGACGATCGCCCCTAAACTATCGAAATACAACGGGAAGAACGGCTGGCCGTATTACCAGAAGTACAAGCAAACGGCGGAGGCGCAGAAGGCACAGATTTTCGAGGATATACAGAGGAAGATGGCGAACACGACTACCGGCGGTACTGGTGTCGGTCGCTCGTGGAATTCCACGGACGTCACGACCCAGCACCGTCAGCACAGGCTCAGGATGAAGCATCACCGACCGACGTTCAAGGGGAAACGCCTGAGAACGCGTGAGTATACATTCGTACATTCCCTATAAATCATTCTCCGTGAGCCGGGCACGAAAGGTCGAAACGGGTCGTCTTCGAAAGAAAAAGGAAACGTTGAGTTACCAAACGGGAATCAGAAAATAAGTCGGGAATATACAAGCAGTGGGAAAGTAAAGATAAATGATTGTGGTGTTGATGATTTACAACGTTGTCGAATCATCTGTCATATGGAAGATAATAGACTGTGGATTCTTTGCATTTATCTCATATAGGATTGTTTAAATCTTACAATCAATATAGTAAAAAATTTAATGGATTTAATCCCATTAAAAGTTTATCCCAAGTGAGTTTTGGGTAGAGCGCATTTATCATACAGGACGTTATTATTAAAAATATACGCGTAGAACATGTTTTTCACATCCATTATCATGGATAGAAGGGAGTTTAGTTTCATTGCAGTAAAAAGACTATATATTATATATTAATTATTCTTATTACATATTAAAATATACATTCTATACCACAAGACGTAATCTGTAAAACCATAGTTGAGGCGATTCTATTTGCCTGGCATATTTATTTGTTCCACAAAACGTATTACATCGCACATTACAATGACCGGGGTCCATTTGACGCCAATGCACAGACTGAAGGTTAAATCTCGAGAAGAATACCATTCCTCCTCGTAATCGTTCCCCAAGATATCCCCTCGAACCGAAGTCCACGACCTTTCCACTCGAGCGATCAACCACCAGCCTCAATGATCGCCAAGACTCGCGGTCGATTGAGTCCATCGATCCCTCGCCTTTGAAATCTGGCTTACGGCCGGGTGAGTCTCCCGCGAACCGAATAAAAACGTCCGTGCCCCCCTGCATCCGATTGTTCCAGGTCCTCCGAGGGACTGCAAGGTCGGTGAATGGGGACCGTGGAGTGCCTGCAGTCGTAGCTGCGGGGTTGGGGAGACTCAGAGGACGCGGAAGATCACGATAAAGCCGCGTCGCGGTGGATCATCGTGTCCGCCGTTGAAGGATACCAAATGGTGCGGCAGCGCGACCCCCTGCTCCGACAGCAAATCCATCGTGGACAGCTATCAGTGGTAGTCGTCGTCGTCGACGAAACGATCCCGTGAACGTGATCCACCACCAAGCCGAAACGATTCTTCGATCGGCCGATCGGGTGGGCTGGCTGGATCCCGAGGACGGTCGAGTGGGTCTTAAGCGTGAACGTACACCTAGGTGAACGCGACGGATCGTCGTTAGTCGGATCCCTTAGAGAAAACGCGTCGATTAACGTGTTATCGTAGCCGTATGATTTCGCGCGGAACGGGACAGGATCCACGATCGGCGATCGAACTGAACGACGGCGTTCCTCGAGTCCTCGGTAGTTCGCCTCGACGTTCCCTTCCCTCGATCGAACTGCTCCGGAAGGTGCGTACTCACTGGGATATACAGGGTGATTTATTTAAGTGTGAACCTACGAATGATGATTTTTAATTGCGGGAATGGTATTTTGTATGCAATTGGAATGGTATTTAAGGGGACAGTATCTTGGAAATGTTTTTTACTCGATGTTTTCAAGGAATAACTATGGAAAAATGTAATGCATTCTGATATGACCTTCAAATGACCTGTGGTTGTTTGGAAAGAACATCGGTGACCTTGGAAACTTCGAGAAAATAGTGACATTTGAAAGATACAATGTTTAATTAATACCATTCAAATTATGCGTGAAATATTTTTCTCGTATTCATAATTAATAAAAAGATATTCGGGGGTTCTTTTCTTTAGGACATCTGTTCTCTGGTTGTTCGAGGTATATTGGGTACTTCGTAAGGACCAGAGGTTTTTTAATGAAATTCATGGACATGTACGACGTTTTCGGGGGAAAAATCAGTTAGAAGTAAAAAATATAGTGGTAAGGATCTTCTGAATATAGTTCAAGGATGAAGTAGCAAGAGAAGGACATATAATTCATTTCAATTTATCAATCTCTACCCTTCGTTTCTCTACAAAAACAACTAGGGAAATTCCACTAATATTTTTCAGTGCTAGCAGTCATGAGAATAACCGTAACGCCTCCAAAAAGCTATTCACTTCCCATTAACCTAATATAAACAGTAATAAAAAATAAAAAAAAAAAACATTTCGCAGATTACTTGTCAATTGTTCGCTAGCTAGTCAATTGTTCAGAAAAAAATGAAATCCAATTCGTAGACTCCAGTGAGGACGCACCTCCACGCGAGCCGTTCGATCATCCAGCGAAAAGTCGTCGATCAAATATTTTTAATATCCTCGTAGTAGATCTATTTAATGTACGAAGAATTCTATATCGACTATCCGGAAAGCTGAATCCTAATATCGTCCAGAACGATTTACTCAATTAAACCCTCGGGTGATAGACAACGGATCGTAATCGGCGCGATACGTTTCCCGAGCTTTCGAGGACCGTGCAAACGCCCGTTCCGTCGCCTCGATCGTAACCTGATCGCCAATCGATCGCCCTGCGTTCCCTGTCGCGACGTTTCCACCGCACGAGCACACAGAAAATTCCACCGTACCGCATTTTATCAGCTAGATCAAGCTTACCTTACCCCTGTCCATCGATACAATTTCGTGAATTCTTCGTCGATCCTTCCGTATAGGATCGTCTACCTTCACAATGGTTGCACAGGAACGAATCAGTCGCGATTCCCCAAAAATTTCGAAAGCGTTCCAGCAACAAGATTTATGGGATTATCCGGGCCCAGGGTGGCTGGAACGAAGTCTCTGGATCGAAGTCTCTGGATCCTCGCGAAATTCTCTCGGAGGAAGACACATCGACTCGTCCCAGTTCCCATCGTGGCGGATAGACCGCCTTCCAGGCGAGAAAAACGAGGAAAAAGGCTGCGGGGGGAAGGACGCGGGGAAACGGAAACTAAGAAAGTACAGAGTTTCCATCCCCGAAGGCACGAAAAATCGCCGGCAATTCCCCGAAGCTAAAGCGTTGAACGCAATTAGCCGGTTCGACTAGTGCACCAGCTAACACTGCGTCTTACACGTTCGTTTCGGCTGGTATCTGTGTACGTGGAACGAAGAAACCCGAACCGATCGATGGGGGAGAAGTTTCTCCGATGGAATTCAACGGGTGGCTCGCGTGTCGATCGACGGGGTCTTAGAAAGGGACTTTTGCCCACGAGTTCACCAACGGATATCCTGTCGGGGCTTCAATTTTCTTCGTTCACTCTGGCGAATTGCGCGGCCAAGGAATCGAATTGAAATTTTCGGAGGATTGGCCCTGCGACTGGACGTTCGTGAGTCTCGGGGATTCACGTGTTACTTTTGGAAACTACGTGGAATTGGAATCGATGATCGTGTAACTTACGATTAATTTCGATTTTGTTGGAAGTTAAGCTGTCTTGATCTATGAATGACGAGAAACGATAATGTTGCAACGCGGAGGAAAAGAAATTGAAGTAATAATGAAATCGATCGATTGCAGTTAAAAGGGCACGGAAACGAAATCCGCCATTTTGGAGCTAAACTGGGACGTTTAAAATTTTCATGGTATAAAGTTAATTGGAGAATCGTGGTTATGTGTAATGCTGTAACTCGACCGTCTGACAGGAATCCAATAATTGTAGCATTTACTGCAGCTATTTTGTGTTAACTGCAGTTGCTAGTGTAGCATGCGTAGGTATCAGACATCCGCGACTATTGCAATTTTAACAATTTTCGCTGACAACCCAAAGAGATTTCTGAACTCACTAGACTGAATGGTCTAATTTTATTATTTATATCATTCATTAGATCTTCCATATCTATTTTAACCTCTTATCTGTGGTGTCGCTTTATAAGAAAATAGCACTTGTTTTTTTTATCTGTAATTTTACTGTATTTAAATTATTTACAAAACTTAAGAATCCATCATTGTCTTACTAAAAGAAAAATTATTTAGAAAAATGATGTAAAAAGTGCTACTCCAGTCAAGTAGTCCCAAAATATTCTAAAATGTCAAAAATTTACAAATATGTTTTACTTTTCACTAAAATTTTAATTGAAATAACAACTGGAAATTATTTTTCTCGCATGACGAGTATACTCGTCGTTCCATAAAAAATTACCATTTCTTCATAACTTGTATACTCGTTATTCACAGCTGAGAGGTTAATATCCCATCCTGAAAACGTGAATATATTAAAGATCCAGCTTGCTCTGCAACGAACATTTCCAAAACAAAATGGCGGTAGGTGGGAACCCGTTAAAATTCACCGGAGAACATATACACCTCGATTACCATAAACGTGCTCACGGTGCAACCGTCGACACAAGGAACGCGATCTCGCGACCGCCTCGTCGAGTTCACGCGAGATCCACGACGGAGCAAAGAGTATATAAAGGCGGTCAAAGGCAAGAGTAACACGGCTCGTCACCGCGAAAGAGATTCATTTCCCCAATCCGCGACGTTCGTGTGTGCTAGCGACGCCTCGGTTCACGTGGCGCGATAGGGAAATTTTTACAAAGAAAATAAAAAACCAGATGACAAAAAAAAAAAAAGAGTACGAAAGAAACAGAAAAGATATCATCAGGTACGTCTTAGGTGAGTGTATTATATCTTAGGCGTAAACGTAACGATAATAATTAACAACTAACGTTTAATCGTAATCGGTTAATTAAAATAGGCTCGTACTGTGGCACCCTCTGTGTGGTGGTGCGCGTGCGCGGCTTGTCCTCCTCGAGATGTTCTTTCCTCTCTGATTTCCGAACTTTCGAGATGAATATTCTCGAACGAACGATCGAAAAATTGTAGCACAAAAACGATGGAAAAATCGTGGTAACTCTAGTTGGTCAGGGGCTTCGAATAGACAGTGGATTTTTCATGGTGATTCGAATCACGATGGAAATCGAAAGAAATAACGTGGATCATCGATTCGATTCGAATCAGTGTGTGAATCGGTAAACGAAATTTCATTGAATAGAGACACCAGGTAGTCCAACCGGGGGACGAATGGGATTAAGTCCGACGAAAGTCGGTTCGTGAATCGCGGATGGAGGGAACAAAGAAAGGAACGCTCGCGATCCCGCTTAATCCGTGGAATTACCGAAGGCTGGATACCGGCGACGGGCGACGAAAGCGAAGGTCTTTCGTCTGTGTACAGCTCGAGGGATAAGGGGTTTGGGAGGACGGACCAAGCCGTCGCAGTTTTAGCAGCATTAAGGATGAACGTTTTATAAATTAAACGCTCGGGGGAACGGTTTCGCGACGAAAGTTTCGAAAACGGGACACGGAGAAAGAGAGAGAAATGGAGGAGTTGGTGGCTGGACTTTGCCTAAGAAATAAAAGCGCGAGATAACAAGCAGGAGACCTTACCAAAGAGACGCTTGTGTAAATGTGTATCTTTTATCCAGTTCCACTGTTTCTTGTTGTTCCTGTACTTTTCCATCCTCCCCTCTCAGTTCTCCCCTCTGTGACATTGTTTCTCCCAGCTCGACGTTTCATTCTTTCCCAACCATGTGCCCTCTCCTTCCACCGTTTAGACACTTCTTCTTCCTATCGATTTCTCTCTTCGACTTCAATATCCCGCGTGAACGAATCACCAGTACGATGACAAATCAATATTGACGGGAGCGACGAAGGGAATAAGGGAGGAGGACGATTCTGTACAAGTCACTGTGCATTCTAGCCACTAAGGACCTAGCCGATAGGATCTAGCCGTTAAGCAAGAACATGTAGCAATGTATAACACATAAGTTTATATTACATAATAAAATCTGTCGATAAACAACAAAAACAAAGTCTGTTCGAACGATATTTTTCACTTGTGACGTATGGATGGTATAATCGTAATAATAATAAAGTAGCGATTATTTCAGGACTCTCGAGAGTGTAACATTTCGTCTCCACTCCCTTCACCCCTCACCTGGTCAATTCTCCGTTCGCAGAATAACTACGAGAATAGAAACAATTCGAGTGCAAGGTAAGTGAATACAGTAATTAATGCTCTACACTCGGGACTGCTTTGGAACACTTATCGTAGGGGAACATTATTTCCACACCTAAGAAATTTCATACCGAGCTTCTGTAGCTTGCCTTTCTATGTTTCCAACGATCGACAAAGATCAGA